TCTCTGATTAGTTTAATATACTTACGTAAATGTCTTTTAAATGTTACTACATTATTGCATTTCTTAAAGTCTGAGTTCCCCAAGCAGTTATTTCTGTTGGCTCTCATAGTGATTTCTTTCCTTGTGAAGTTTGTGCTTTTTCCTGTGAATATAAGTTTAGTGTGCCTTCTTCCATGATTGTTTGAACAGCTCTGGGTTGTGGAGACATTCCTGTGGAGAAGTTTTATTTTCCTCTGCTGGGAAATGTGCACTTTACCCATTTTAAGTCATGGGATTTCCATCCGAGTAGTGTAATTTCATATCCAATATCAATAGATGGTGTAGGGTTGGGGCTTGAATTCCTGTACAACACTCTTTCTTCCAACCACAGCTCCTGGTGAACAGCTTAGCTTCTTTGCCATTTTCTATAGCCATTGAGTGGAGCTGCCTCATCTCTACTGCATGGATGGGTAGCTCATTGTGGTTCCTGGGTTTATGCAGAAATCTGACCTCCAACTCCCCACTGTTTACAGGTCTGAAGGTTTATCTCCTAGCTTAGTGAAGGCGTTAATATCCTGTCCTACAAGGGTGCCTCAGCTTTAATCACCCCATGTTCCTTTCAGCTTCAGTTCCATTCACCTCTGTAACTTTGTTACCTCTTTTTTTCTCATAAAGATTTTCTTCTTTTTTATACAGTTATCATTTATCCAGGATTTTCATTTGCTTGGTGGAGTGGCTGGGGTGAAGGTGAGGTTGGGGTATGGGGTGGACTTTACAACTGAATCCACTATTTTGACTGAAAACTGATTGAACCTATTTAAGACTGTTTCCTCATCATGTTTGTATTTGTATTTTGATAATTCAGTAAGGTAGTATATGCAAAGTCGTTAGCACAGTGCCTGGTACATGGAAAGTACCCAATAAATGTTAGCTAGTATTATCACTAGCTAACCTAAATTTAAAATTATATATATATCCAAAAAATGTATACACATTTTAAGAAAGGAAAAAACTGTATTAAAATTGTAATACTCAATATATACCGATAAAAAAAGATGAATACAAGTCAAGTGTATACATTTTTTTTGATATATACATTATATATACCGGGGGTGCCAAAAAAATGTATACAAGTGGACATTTTGGTCAGTGTTGCCCAAGCAGTAGTTCACCATAATCAGAAGTGTCTGGACAATGATGGTAACCACTTTGAGCACCTCTTGTAATTGCAGAAGTCAAATAAACTTGTATTCATCTTTTGTTATTGGTGTATATCGAGTATTAAAATTTTAATAGTGTTCCGCTTAAAATGTGTATACATTTTTTTGGCACCTATATATATTTTTTATATATATATATATTTTACATATGTGTAAACATATTTTACACATATGTAAAATATACTTAGATGCTAATATATTATATACCAATATATTGTTAATAGTATAATAATATTATAAATAAGCATATAAATATAAAGTATATATATTTAAACACTATTGGGACTTACTATGTACCAAAAACTATTCTAAGCACTTTATAAATATTAGCTCATTTATTTCTCACAACAACCCTATGAGGTATAATTATTACACCCTGTTTTACACCCTATTTATTATTACCCCTATTTTACAGGTGAGGAAACTGAGGCACAGTGATCTTAAGCAAATTCCCTGAAGTCACAGAGACAGTCAGTAGAGAAGCTGCATTTGAGCAGCTTCTGTGGTCTGGTTCCAAAGTCAGTTCTCCCACCTGTGTTATGCTGCTTTCTTAATGCTTATCTGTACCTTTTTTTTATCCATAATATTAAGAACCTTCTCCAACAATATTTTCTCAGTAAGCAATGCTTTCTTATAGAGATTAGATATCAGGTTCTATTGAACCAGTTCTTTGTAAAAAATCAAAACCATGTTAACAGAATGCAGAAGAACACATCTGTTGTAGCTATTCATGTATCTAGGTAAAAGCGAAGCAACATCAAGATGCTGAGTGGGTTTCTTTAAAATAAGAAAAGGTTTGAATAGTCACTTCACAAACGGCAATATACAAAATCACACGAAAACTTGTACAATAGCATTGATCATTGTGCCAGTTATCAGTTTCTTGCCTCCCACTTCCGCCTTCAGTATACGCTCTGTGATCATAGGGTTGGCTCCTTTAAGCATGCCTCCTCTAAAGTGAGCACAGTGTTATGTTAGCCTTTCTCAGTAGAGGGCACTGGAGGAGCATTGTGGAAAGAAAGGGCTCACCTGTAGTTTCCCGGTGCTGTAAGGCGTGTGGGCTGTCTGGGACAACGTCCAGTGCAGCTCGGCTACAGCTGCAGGCCCTGGGCGCGTAAATCCTCGGAGATCTTGCAGTCTCAGCCAGGACTGATGATAGCCTTCCCATGGCCCTCAGCAGGGAAACCAGCACCCCAAAGACCTTCTGCTGGCACAAGGATCCTGACTCCCTTTGCAGGCACCAGTGTGCCCCCTGCCCCTACCCTCCCTGCTGAGTCTCAGAGGGTCCCACCTTGCTGCTGCTGTCTCTCAGGACAAGTATGGCATGGGGCCTGAAGGGTTCCCACCCTCTGCATGCCCGGGTACTAGGAGCTGATCGCCTGCTCCCTACTTGTAGTTGGGGACTGCCTCCTGCCTACCAGTTTTGCAGATCAGCTTTAGCCTGGACAAGCCAGGCAGTTTTTCACTGTACAGTGGGCTAAACTACACTTTCTCCACAGTTTGAACCTCAGCCTTGAGGAGAGAGTCCCTTTCCAAGTTTGTCCTTTCTTGGGTATTCTCTCTCAGTCCTAGGGTACTATGCAGCATGTTATCTGTTATAGTTATTCTTTTATCATAGTTTGATAATTCCTTATACTAAACTCTGGTTGTTTAACCCACCATGTGGTTTCTATTTCTTGTTTCAGCCCAGGCTTAAAAGTGTTCAAATCATTCCTTGGCTTGCTAGGAGATCAAAATGCCAGTTTTGTATGAGTGTTGAGAGCTGAAGGTCTATTTTGAGCTCATGTAGCCTCATTGGTAATATAGGTATTTTTCCCGTGTTCAGGACTGAGGGAAACTGCCTGTCTTGAATTTAGGTTTCTAGCACCTCTCCTTTCTTACAATTTTTTATGGTCTGTGTGATGGCCTAGAGTGTCTTTGTTTTATGTGATGAAGGCATATGTGCTTTTATGAAGGTATATATTTGTACTCTGTAATTGTTTAAGACTCAGCCTGACTAAAAAACAAAACAAACAAAAAAACAAAGCAAAAACAAACAAGAAAAGACTTAGCCTGACTAAACCATACCACCTAGAAATGATGTATATACAGTTTTTATTTATTGGCTTTTTGTTTCATACATGTCCATCATGATTAAGTTGTAAGCCCCCCAATGTAGGATCCATCTTCTATTTATTTTGCATTCTCTATCTAGAGAATATTGTACAGTGTCATAAACACAGGAGATACTTAAATTGCGGGAGACAGTTCCCGCAGGTCCAGGGGTTCCCTCAGGTGGAGACGGTGTCAGGTCCAGGGGTTCCCTCAGGTGGAGACGGTGTCGGAGCCGAAAGGAAAAAAGACACGCAGAGACTCAGGAGTGCTTTCAAGAAGTGTCTCCCTTTATTTTTACAGCATGTCCCTTTTATACTGGGCAGTTGACCTTTTCCAGACTGAAACATTTGCTCTTTTGGAAGTTGTTTTTCTCAGAGCTTTTCTTTCTCCTGATGTTTCTGTTACAGGGTACAGCCTGACCTGTTCTATGCTAATGACTAACTTATCCTAACAATGTTTCAATTTCTACCTATAATGGCTTTGTGGCCAGAGCTGAGTTCCTGCCCTGGGCCTAAAGGATGTTTACTACTTAGCAATTATTTCAAACACTATTGGCTAAACAGGATCTTAAGAATTATAAGGTGCATAACTTGTCTATTACTAAGAAACTAACAGCAAAACAGAATTATCGCAATATGTCTAAAACTCATTTATTTAGTTAAGATAAACTAACTAGCCAATATAAGAAGGGGTGTCAGATCTTCATCCTACTGGGGGGCACCCAAAGGGGAATTTAAAATTTTTTTAAGATATAAAGCAGTATCTGTTTCTCAGTCAGAGCTTCAGAATTTGTCACAATAGCAGTGCGCTTGGCCATGTCAAACACTGAGGCGCAGCTGGCTCCCAAAATTGAATGATGACAATGTCAATTATTTAGATGTTTAAAACGTTTCTGAAAATTTCTGGTAAGGCCAGGAAACACCAAATAATACTTAGTTTACCCAGTCAATTGTATAACTAATATTATTGGAGTAGTTCACTCAAATACACAATCTTTGATTTTTTTAAAAAAATTGTATTTTAGAAAGTTCCAAATAGCTTTTACATTAGGCACCGATTTTGTTTTTATACAGGAGAAAAATAATCAACAGCTACTTAAGTCCCCTTTGAACATAAGGTCACCCTACACCTTCAACATAATGTAGGTGTCATGGGACGCCAGGGAAGGGTGACAACCCCAGGGAAACAAGTGTATAACCAGAAATAAGCCAATAAGAAAAGTAGAGATCCAATGAGATCACAGGTTAAGTGCTCAAAGAAGAAAGAAAAGTATTGGGTTGTTGGAAAAGTCATGACGCATTTTGGCAACGAAAAACAGAGAAAAATACGTCATGACTTTTCCGACAACCCTATGTATGTGGACTCATAACCTCAAAGTAATGGTATTCCCTTATACATATCTTTATGTTTCCAATTGTCAGAGGAAATTCTTTAAAAAAAACCCAAAAAACAAACAAACAAAAAATAGGAGGCGCTATTATATATATGACAGGTTCCGAATCAAACTTCAAAGTAACAGGAATATTTTCTACCTTCTATATAAATTCTTCAGGGCCAAATCTCAAATAAAAAGACATTTGTTTACCAATAGGTAACAATGACAATTACATGTCATACATTTCTTTGCAAATCAATAGGCCATGGATTTACCAGCTCGAGTCTAACTTGAAGATTGCAAAACATGCCTAAAGTACAAATCAGAAAAGCACTAGGGTGCTTACCAAGAGCCATCATGTTTTTATTGCAAGCAGCAAAAATCCAGAAGGGTGAGGTTAGCGATCTCCAGGAAGGGCTCCCAGAAGCAGTCAGTTCTGTACTGAGATTTGTAGACATGCCTGTTGAGATTAAGGGGACTGACGGTTAGGCAATAGGAAATGATAAATATAGAAGGGAATCACTGAAAATCCTATAATGTGTGACCTGAGATGGAAATATGCTGAAATGACAGAGATATATAAAATCTATAAAGTGGTGGTAGAGGTGGCTAAGGGAAATAAAAACTTGTCAATATTAATATTTTCCCCAAAATGGCATCTCAAAGAGATAAGCAGTCTGGTTTCAAAAAACTCAAATGGAACCATCCATTTTTAACTTAGCTTAAATAAAATAAAATATTCATTAAGACGACAATCATCTCTTGCTCTGATGACATATTGACCAGAAAACATTATAATTATTTGATTTTTCAGATACCATGATACTGAGGAGATAACCTTGGTAAGAAAAATGAACATAATAGTCCACTTATAAGGTTTATGTTTAGCTTCAAACTAATCAAATTTTTGATCCCAAACAGTTGATTGTATATTACAGGTCTATAATCTGAAATTTTGATAACCCCTGGATCAAAAGATACTCAATTTTTGGCCTTTGTAGAGTATTGTAACTGAGTTATGGCTGGCATTTACACAATTATCTGTGCTTATGTCTGTGCTTCCCAAACACATCAGTTACATAAGTACCTGCCTGTTAGGTTGTATTTAATCATATTTGTGGAATGCTAAATCATCCCTCTCAAAATAAATATCTTCACCTAAAACTTTTTATAAGTGTGTATGTATAGACCAATATAACTTAAATTTCCTTGCAAATGAGCACGTCCTTTCCAATTGTTTCAAATCATTTTCCACCATTTCATAAACCCTGTCATATAAATTTTGCCAGGAGTATAACTATAATTTTTAATTAAAAATACTAACCAGATGAGAGGGCCTGAAAGGGTATTCTTCCCTTAATGCCTTCTCCTCTAAAATTTAAGGTACAATGGTGTTTTTGTCCTCCTCTCTTGTAATTTGCAGTACTCTTATGGGGCAAGGGGAAGAATATTATGTATATTATCTATTAATGGTTACACATCTGATTATTTACTTTTAACATGTTAATCACAAGCCAGAAGCCAGAGTTAAGTAGATTTTTATTTTTAGTCTCTGGCCTGATCTACAACTTTTCTGCTAGTTAAAAGGCAGTAATGAAAAGCTATTTAGCCCACATAGCTTCAGGAAACAGGTTGAATACACCATAAATCCTTTGTTTTACCTTATTTACTCCATTTATATGTGCAACCTTTATTCTGTTCATCTACTTGGAGTCTAATTTAATTTACTGAAGAGTGCGCATTACTCGCTCAACCTTAACATGGACTTGATTCAGCTATAACTATTGTAAGCTAATTGTGCTGTGTTGGACTTGAAGCTGATAATGGTGAGCAGTGACAAGTTTAACAAATTTTCCATTACCGCATTCAATTACTTTTGGTGCATCCCACTTATTACCGAGCCAACACTTAATTCATTTAAGGTTTTGACAGGAATATGAGATGAGATGATTATTAGGGAGACTCCCAGGACAGGTCTTGCACTCTAGGTGTTATTCGACAGCTCCCTCTGTTGTTCTACATGTTTATTTTTGAATCTAGCTGTGTTGTAGAAAATGTAGTGTTTATTTGCCACATGTTTCTATCTGCAAACAGATTATAGAACGTGCTGAGATTTGCAAATTAATAATTGTGGCTTATGAATTCATAACTAAACATGCAGTTATTTTCAATGGTCAGTGATAATATAAATCAGTTATTATTTATTTTACAATTGACTCATTTCTAAGTTGACATTTACCAATGCTAACCTATTAAAAAGAACAGGGATTTTTAAAATAAGTGAAGATACCAACTTTTATATTTTTGTAATTCTTCATAGATAAAGTTAACTAGCACTTAGGAAAATTTACTTAGAAAATTTCACTCTTTGAGCCAGTAGAAAACAAAATCACATTTGGTAAAAGGTTATTTTAAGGTATGTCCATAGATAAAGACAAGTTCATCTTGTTCTTATAAATCTAAAGGTTGATGAGAATCTGGAAAAAGGTTTTTAAGGTAGAAAAACAAAAATGAAATAGTGGATGATGACAGTTGCTTTGAAACAAGTTAAGGCATATATCAAATACAGGCTCATTACATCTTATAAAACAAGATATAAATATATGTGCTGTGGTTAGGGTCTCTCTGTCTTTTAACCTATCTTACCAAGGAGGAGGCATTTGACAACTACTGATATTCACCACTCTGCTCATTTGTGTTTTATATTACTGAATAAGCAGATATGGTGTTGAAGGAGCCACCTCTCAAGTTTTGTGTGGGAGATATATATATATATATATATATATATATATATATATATATATCTCCCAGTATGACAGTGATAAAAATTGATGCATAGTAGGTCTAGAAGTTTCTTTGTATACATATTTGCTATAAGGCAATTTAAGAATCAACCCCACATTGCCCAGGTGTAATGAAATATAAGTTACTATGAAGTATTCTTATATCCTGGAGAGACATGTAACTGACATTATATCGTAATTAGTGATGCATATTTTCCTAGATTGTATATTCATTTCTTCTAAGCTTGTCCTTCAAAGGTCTGCCCACAATCCTTGCCTAGACTTTGCAAGATTGATGCATTTGTATTCTTCCAGGAAAAAAATAGGAGTCAAAACTAATGTTCTCTTCTAGAGATTTCTAAGTTAAACTTGTAATTTAAGTTCTAGTTCTGATCCAGACTTTTGGGATCATCTTTTATAGTGGATGCTGTTGTGACAGTCCCCATTCTGTCATCCCGGTGCACTCATTTTATATAGCTTGCAAGTGTCCCTTTTGGACTAACTGATTCAGGAGTACATACATGAGCCTCCATGCCTCAAGGTGAGCCCAAGTCTGTGGTGCAATTCACGCTCCATAACTCCTCATGGGATCAGACTGAAACGCGTCTCCAGGACAGGCTGCATCTATACTTAGCTTTCTTCCCCTGCCCTATTCTGTTTGCCTCCCTCCCCTTCTCCTGAGAGCACGCCTTTAATAAATCACTTTCACAAGAATCCCCATTTTATGCTGTGCTTCTAGGGTACCCAACCTTGAATAATCCAGATAAGATATACAGTTTAAGGGTTAGTCATTCAGATGGACTTTATTATGATCCATAAATAACGGTGGTTTGTGTTTTTTACAGCAGTAATGAACAGAGTATTTTAGATGCAATTTTTCATAATCTTTTGGGAATACAGGTTCTGTGAATGCTATTGAAATATTTCCTTGATAAGAGCATGAAGATGTATCCAAAATGTTATGTGCATCTTTACATTTAAAATGATGATTCGAAGAACTCTGTCGTATAACACGTCATCTTTTGACCAATGGAAGCTGCAGAAATATTGTAAAAGTATTAATTAAAGGATAGAAGCCTTGAAATTTAGTCCTTGCCCTGTGGTTTCGATGTGAACTTCGTACTAAGCATATAACTTCTCTATGGTTTATGTAACTCCCCAGAAAAAGTGACAATGATAATAAATAGCCAAAATTTACTCAGGATATACTATGTATTAGCTATTATTTAAATATATTCACTCATTTGATTATCTTGACAACCCTTTGTACATAATTATCTTCATCATAGTAAAGAAACTGAGAATCAGACTCTTGAAATTCTTTCCTCAGTACACAAATCTTCTGTGTGATAAAGTAGGACTTCAAACCCAGATTTATTGGATTCCTTAGCTGAGGCATTTATATTATTTATATTAGCATACCACTTTTTAAAAAATTATTTATTTTTTTCAGTTACAGTTGGCATTCGACATTATTTTATATTAGTTTCAGGTTTACAGCATAGTGTCATGAGAGTGCAGTAGCCTCATGGAGATGCTGAAATGGCATTGGTTGGGACAGGACAGATGGGAGCAATAATTGGCTTGCTTGCATGATTCCTTATTTTCCACACTATCTTTTGCTCCTCTGCTGAAATGACTCTAGCTGAGTAGTGTTTACAAAATTTTCATTCTAGCTGAGTAGTGTTTACAAAATTTTCATTAGCAATTATAGTAGTTTTATATTGCTCTTATAGCACATTTACCACAAAGGTAGCGCCTAAAACAGCACATGTTTGTTATCCTATAACTTTGTAGGTTAGGAGTTTGACACAGATCTCATTGAGCTAAAATCAAAATGTTAGAAGGCCAGAGTCTTTCTGGAGGGTCTAAGAAGCAGAGCAGTTTCCTTGTCTTTTCCAGTTTCTAGAGGCCACACACATGTTTTGGCTGGTGATTCCCTTCCTTAAGCTTCAAAGCCAACAATGTTCTATCCTGCTGACTCTTCTTTCTTTCTCACATCCCTTTCTCTGACTGCAGTCAAAAAGATTTCTGTTCTCAAGGACCCTTATGATTAGATAGATAACAACCCTAATAATGCAAAAATGATCTCTCCATCTGAAGGTCCTTAACCTTAATTGTATCTGTAAAGCCCCTTTTGTCATGTAACATAGTCACAGGTTCCAGGGATTAGGGCATGGACATCTTTGGGAGGAGAGTATGTTTCTTCACAGTAATAGAAATGCATTAATAATTTTCACCAGTATGTTTTTTTCAAAATAATGAGGATGCCTCATTTTTAGAAGGATCTTTTTTCTTATATATTTCCTAGTATTTCCTATTCTACTCCTACCTCTCCATGGCGTATATTGGGAATAGCAATATGACAGTCATTGGTTACCATGGCAACCAATTGAATGTCCTCTTGTCCTTCCCAGGACAATGTTCCTTAAGGAAGCAAAACCCAAGGGAAGAACCAGTGAAACAATGTGCAATTAGACTATTTGATTCAATACTATTGACTATGACTAAATCAATGGCAGCAGCTATAAGTACATTTAGCATCTGGAACCTCACAGGTATATAAGCTTAACTGAACTGTTTTATAGATGAAACATATTTTGATCTCATATTTACCCTATCTCATTCCTCTTCTTTTGCACAAAACCCCTGAAGACTAGTAAATTTTTCCTTCAGG